TGTTTGTCCTTATGAGATAGCATTTCCTCAAAAAAGTTGAACATAGAAATTCCATATGACCCAGTTATTCCATTGCTAGGAACATACTTTGAGGAAAATAGACCTGAGACATAAACAGAGATTTGTACACTGATGTTCATAGCAATGATATTCAAAATAGTAAGAAAATGCAAACAGCCCAAAAGTTCATTAACAAATGACTGGATTGAGAAACTGCGGTGCATTCACACAATGGAATACTATGCAGCACTCAGGAACAACGATTTTGCAAAATCCTATATGACATGGAAGAGGCTAGAAATCATAAAGTTTTATCTTGGAGGAAGTGCAGCTAGAATGCTCCTTAGAAGCAGGTATAGTGAGACTTCATCTCACCTACCTGAGGCATGTTATCACACCTGTGATAAGCAGATGATATCACTTTGCTTCAGGAAAAAGAAGAGACTCAAAACATTTTCTGATGAAGTTAAAAACTTTTACTCTAGACGACACTTCAACTTGAAGAAGATAAAAGTACTTGGATGAACCAACAGACACATCAGAAGTGAAGAAAAAAGATAAACTAGTATGAAGTAAACACAGGTTACAGAAGGTAAACACGTCTGAGAAAGGAGGAAGAGGCATTACTACCGAACACGTGTAAGGAATGGGGTAGAGAAGAATGAGAAAGAAGATGCTGGTTTCAGACAGTATTTGCAGTAGAATGTTGGGTTTTGGGAAATTGTTAATAGGCAGTTATATGAAATTCTCTTTTTCTCCCCCTGTAAGTTCCATGATTTATTCACTGCAAATACCTCTTTAAAAAAAACATAAAAGGGGACTTTACACATGGACTTCGCCTGATGGACTGCACAGGAATCGGGTTGACTACACCTGTGGAAGGAATTGTTGAAGAAGCTCAATATCAGCATTCAAAACCAGAACAGGTGCTACTGTGGAAGATATCATCAATTACTCATGAGAAAGTTCAAGTTGAGACTGAAGAAAATTGTAAAAAGTCCACAAGAACCAAACTATGACCTTGAGTATGTCCTACCTAAATTTATCAATCTTTTTTAAATTTTTAAAATCTATATAGAATGTTCAAATAGAAACTGAGAAACTTGATAAAAGTCCACAAGAGCCAAAATATGACCTCAAGTTCATCGCACTAAAATTTGAAAACCATCTGAAGGATAGATTTGATATATTGAGCACTAATGATTAACGACTGTGCAAGTTGTGAGGTAAAATTAAATACATCATCCATGAAGAAAACTAAAGGTCATTAAAAAGAAAGAAAATAATGGTCTTAGTCTTATACAGTATTTGTCCTTCTGGGTAATCATGTTTTGCGCAATTTGTTGGGAGGAGGGAAGGGTGGGTAAAGGAAATTAGAAAGTTCTGGTGTAAAAAACAATGTATACACATTTTGTAAGTAAAGCAGTATAAAATAATAAATTTATTTTAAAAAATTTAAAAAGCAAGAATTCCAGAAGAGACGCTGAAATATAGAGAAACCTAAATAAAGGGAAGAAATTAATAAGGAGAATTTGAAGAAACAACATATGATCAAGAGCCAATGGTGATGAAGGAAAAAGTTCAGGCTGCTCTGAAGGACTTGGCACAAACTAAAGCCCTAGGAATTAATGGTATGCCAGTTGACATATTTCAACAAACAGATGCTTCCTTCTTCGATGTGCTGCTCACCATGTTGTGCCCAGAAATCTGGAGGACAACTTAGCCAACTGACTGGAAGAGATCCATATTTATTCCCATTTCAGAAAACAGGTGACAGGACATTGTATGGAAATTATCAAACAATATCACTAATAATCACACACTAGCAAATTCCTGCTGAAGATTATCCAAAAACTACTGGAACAGTACATTGACAGAGAACTACCAGAAATACAAGCTGTTTAGAAGAGTTCTTGACACTAGAGACATTATCTCCAATGTCAGATGGATCTTGGCAGAACCAAAGAGTACCAGAGGAATGTCCATCTGTGTTTTATTGAATATGCAAAAGCATTTGACTGTGTGGATCACAACAATACTGGCTAAGCTTGAGGAAAATGGGAATCTCAGAATACTTGATTGTGTTGTTTTTGTTGCTATGTGCCGTCGAGTCATTTGCGACTCATAGCGACCCTATGTACAACAGTCCTAAACCCTGCTCTATCCTGTGCCAATCTCACTATCTCTGACATCCATCCCAATTACCCCAGTCACCAAATAAATCCATCGCATAGAGGATCTTCCCCTCCTGCGCTGTCCCTCTACCCTACCAAACATGATGTCCCTCTCCAAGGACCTCTCCCGCCTTACAACATGTCCAAAGTATGTCAGACGAAGCCCCAGAATCCTTGCCTCCAAGGAGTAGCCTTGTTTAACCCTCTCCAGGGTGAATCTGTTTGTTTTCTTGGCAGTCCATGGTACATTCAATACTCTTCTCCAGCACCACAGCTCAAAGGCATCAATTCTCTTTCTATCCTCCCTA